ACCCTAAACCCTAAACCCTAAACCCTAAACCCTCAACCCTAAACCCCGAAACCCGAAAAGTGGAGGATGGCCACGATGTGGGTGACCATCCCCCGATCACCCCGGTGCCTTGGCCACATGGGGTTTAGGGTTTAGGGTTTCGGGTTTAGGGTTTAAGGGTTTAGGGTTTAGGGTTTCGGGTTTAGGGTTTAGGGTTTCGGGTTTAGGGTTTAGGGTGTTGGGTTGAAGAGCTGAGGCGCAAGGCTTGAGGTCTGAGGGTTTGCGGTACTTATATCACCACCCGCGAACCTTAAGTAGGGTGGAGCCGTAGGCTCGGGCAGCTAAGAGTCTGCAACCCTAAGCCCTAAGCCCTAAACCCTAAACCCTAAGCCCTAAACCCTAAACCCTAAACCCTAAACCCTAAACATACATTAGCTTAAGCCATCCAAACCTTCTCAGCCTTCAGAGGCCCCAAAAGTACCTTGAGCCCTAAACCCGGAGCCGATTCCCAAAGAATTCGCAAGCGCGCCGTTCACACGAGAGGACCTGTGGGCAGTGACTTTTAGGGTTTAGGGTTTGGGGTTTAGGGTTTAGGGTTTAGGGTTTAGGGTTTAGGGTTTAGGGTTTAGGGTTTGGTCCTCAGGGCCCGAGGATGGGTGTCGGAGGATGCCTTGCTCACAACTTCGCCGACTTACTATTTGGGGCCTGAACCCTAAACCCTAAACCCTAAACCCTAAACCCCAAACCCCAAACCCTAAACCCTAAACCCTAAACCCTAAACCCTAAACCCTAGGTCAAGGCCGCGACGCAGGGGCAATGCGGGGGCGAAGCTGGTTGGGCCGCGCGGAAGCACAAGGGAGAGTCGCCGAGCTTCGAGTTTAAGCGCTTTGTTTGCATAGGGTTTAGGGTTTAGGGTTTAGGGTTTAATGAGGGTTAGGGTTTAGGGTTTAGGGTTTAGGGTTTAGAGTCCAGGGTTTAGGGTTTAGGGTTTAGAGTCTAGGGTTCAGGGTTTAGGGTTGAGGGTTTTACTCTATGTACATACACATTTTGGTCTGTGGTGTGGCTGTGGGTTGGGTTTAGGATTTGGGGCTTAGGGTTCCGGGCTTAGCTTTTTCGGGCTTAGGGTTGTAGGTTTAGGGATGTTAGGGTGTTAGGATTTACTCTAGAATCTAGACCCTAGACCCTAAAGCCTAAACCCTAAACCCTAAACCCTAAACCCTAAACGCAAAACGCTTTAGGGTTTTAGGGGCCAGGTTCTAAGTCCTCCCCCCGGGCCCCCCTGTTGTGTGGCTGTGGGCCAGTTTAGGGCCCTGCTGGCTTAGGGCCCTGCCGGTTTAGGGTTTAGGGTTTAGGCTGAGGGTTTCTGGGCTTGGGGTTCAGGGCATGTAGGGTCTTGAGGTTTAGGTTTTTTAGGGGTTTGGGGCTTATGTACCTGTTGAGGGCTTACACATATGTGTGTGTACATAGACACATGTATATACTCGTGGGTATGTATGTGTATATGAGTATGCGTATATGCGTATATATGTATGTGTGCATCTGTTCATGTGTGCGCGTGTTTGCGTGTATGTGTGTATGTCTGTATATGCGTGCCATCTGAATATCTCTTCCCTCAACTATCAGTTTTTATTAACCTCGGCCCTTGAAAGCCCTAGACCCTAAACGCTAAACCCTAAACCCTAAACCCTAAACCCTAAACCCTAAACCCTAAACCCTAAACCCTAAACCCTAAACCCTGAGCCCTAAGCCCTAAACCCTAAACCCTAAACCCTAAACCCTAAACCCTAAACCTCTCCTACTTCTACATATTTAAATGTTAAACCCCTTCGTCGGCAAGGCACAAGACCTTCGTCGGCAAGGCACAAGACCTTCGTCGGCAAGGCACAAGACCTTCGTCGGCAAGGCACAAGACCTTCGTCGGCAAGGCACATCCTCGAGTTTTGTGTCTAGGGCTCAGGGTTTTCACTGGTTTTGTGCCTTTGCCGACGAAGGTCTTGTGCCTTGCCGACGAAGGTCATTAACATTTAGGCTTAAATGTTAAACCCCTTCGTCGGCAAGGCACAAGACCTTCGTCGGCAAGGCACAAGACCTTCGTCGACCAGGCACAAGACCTTCGTCGGCAAGGCACAAGACCTTCGTCGGCAAAGGCACAAGTCTTATGTCTAGGGTTTAGATTTTCACAGTTTTCGCGTTTTATGTCTAGGGTTGAGGATTTTCACAGTCTTGTTTAAGTCTTATTTATGTCTCCGGGTAGAAGTTCAAGGGAGGGTTGGGGAAGAATCATGTTCACAGTTTTTTTCGGCAAGTTTTATGTCTAGGGTTTAGGGTTTTCACAGTTTTTTCGAGGCTCAAATATGGGAGTGCGAACTCGGTGACATGATTTTTCGAGTGTTATGTCTAGGGTTTAGGATTTTCACAGTTTTTTTCGAGTTTTATGTCTAGGGTTTAGGACTTTCACAGTTTTTTTGGAGTTTTATGTCTAGGGTTTAGGATTTTCACAGTTTTTTCGAGTTTTATGTCTAGGGTTTAGGATTTTCACGGCTTTTTTCGAGTTTTTATGTCTAGGGTTTAGGATTTTCACAGTTTGTTTTTTCGAGTTTTATGTCTAGGGTTCAGGACTTTCACTTTTTTTCGAGTTTTATGTGTGGGGTTTAGGATTTTCACGGTTTGTTTCGAGTTTTATGTCTAGGGTTTAGGGTTTTCACAGTTTCTTTTTCGAGTTTCGGGGTTTCTGGGCTGCGTGGGAAATCAGTACTGAGGAGTCCCACGCATCGAGGCTCAAATATGGAGTGCGAACTCGGTGACATGATCTTCGCAGTTTTTTTCGAGTTTTATGTCTAGGGTTTAGGATTTTCACAGTTTTTTCAATTTTTATGTCTAGGGTTTAGGATTTTCACAGTCTTTTTCGAGTTTTATGTCTAGGGTTTAGGATTTCAGGGTTTTTTCGAGTTTTATGCGAGGCTCAAATATGGGAGTGCGAACTCGGTGACATGTTTTTTCGAGTTTTATGTCTAGGGTTTAGGATTTTCACAGTTTTTTTTCGAGTTTTAAGTCTAGGGTTTAGGATTTTCACAGCTTTTTCAAGTTTTATGTCTAGGGTTTAGGATTTTCACAGTTTTGAGTGATTGGGACCGGGGCCGCTTAGAGAAGAAGGAGGTTGGATATTTTCCTACTGGTGTGGGACCCAATGGGCGGGTGGGTATTCCCCTGTGGCCTTGAAAGCTGCTCAACTAGTGAATGCTTGGACCAGAGATGCTGAACCCTAAACCCTAAACCCTAAACCCTAAACCCTAAACCCTAAACCCTAAACCCTAAACCGTAAACCCTAAACCCTAAACCCTCAACCTTAAACCCTAAACCCTAAACCCTAAACCCCCCACAAACCCCTGAACCGCCCCCAAACCCCTTATGCCACAAAATGCCAAACCCACCCTTTGAAGGGTGTAGGGCTTGGTTTGTAGGGTTTATGGGGTTTATAGGGTTTATAGGGTTTATAGGGTTTATAGTTTATAGGGTTTTCTTAGGAAAGCCCCTTGTATCCCAAACCCCTCAACCCAGAAGGCGCTCTACGAACTGGTCTGTCGTCACTTTCTGGCATCCGTCTCCCCGGACGCCGCACTACAAGAGGCCACTTTGTCCTTCTAATTTAGGGTTTAGGGGTTTAGAGTTTAGGGTTTCGGGGTTCGGGGTTTCGAAAGGGACAGCAAGTCCTTATTTCGTCGCTTGGGCATGCAAATTCGATTCGACTTATTTCGTCTTCGGAATGCGCCTGGGAGCTCTTGAGAATGGGGCCTTGCATCGGCCACGCCATTTTTTTCTTTGTCCACCCGCGCCCATCAAGGGTGCCTCCCGCCCTTAACCAGCTCCTCCTTCTAGGGCTTCGTTTCCTAAACTCGTTTTTGGGAAGCTATCTTGTCCTGTTTTCTTTTTGCTCTTCTCTCTCTCTCTCTCTCTCTCTCTCTCTCTCTCTCTGTATCCTTTTCTTCCCACTCTCTTTCGTCTGCTTCTTCGTTCATTTTGTAATTTGTAGACACAGCTAGTCCAGTATAAGTTTTAGCGTACGTCTCTGGAAGCATCTCGGCATGGTTGGGCAGCAAGATCTACTTGCCAACAAGCAAAGCAATCTGACATTGAGCTTTGAAATGAACAGAATGAAGCCCCCATGGGGGGGTGCCCCTTGTGGCCCTTACGCCCTCGGACCTTTGAGGGTCTAGTTTGCGAATTTTTTTTGGAAAACTTTCTTGTGCTATGATCTTCATGGGAATCGTCACGGGGGTTGTCGTTTTCTGTTTTAGGACCACGAAGACCCTCCATTTCAGAGGCTTCGACAATCGCACGCGGTGTAAACCTACACCCCGGTTCCCAAGTCTCGGGCCCCAGCTCTCTTGTTCTGTGGGGATGAGAGTGGGGTGAATGGTAAGGGGCCGCGCTGACATATTCATTAGACCAAAAATCGCGAAACCGACCCATGTTTGCACCAACACGTTTATGCGCGCCAAAGGAGCTCCCAAGACAACATTCCCTGAAGCTGAGGCCAGATTCAGGTTCCAAGAGCTGCCAACACTGCGTCGTTGTTTTTACATGCTACATGCTGCAGGAACCACCTCATGCTTTCGCGATCGTGAAGGCTGAGTCCGAGGCAACGCAGTGGCGGGTACAGCAGGCAGCGCTCCCAAGAAAATCACTGCGGTCGTTTTTCTCCCTCTCGAGACAGACGCGTGCGCGAAAACATGTTACCCCAAAGCAGCAGCATGCTGCGCCAAGGTCAGCGACTGCTGAAGCACAAACATTCATTGCAGCTTGCGAGGTTTGGTGAAAGGGTGCACCTCGGAGACAACCAAGGCTAAGCTGGAGGACGCGCTCCAGACATGGTGTATGTTCTATCGCACGCGCAAGGCCGTGATCGCCAAGATGCTTTCGGGGGTTCTCGCCTTTTCCAGCATAGTCTACCTTGGTAGTGTCCAGTTGCTCGAGGCTGTGACTGTGCGCAATGCCCTCTGCAATTGGGCGCACAAGATCCCATGTACAGCGTCGAATGTTGCCACGCTGAGCTCTTGGCAGTTCTCCCCACAAGACCTCAGCCTCATGAAGAAATTCTGATTGGAGTCGTTGCGCCAGAGACACGAGGACAGCGCAGGTTGGCGTCGCAAGGTCCTTCAAGGTCCGACAGCTCGGAGAAAGCGCGCGAGAAAGCCAAGACGGAAGCAAAGCAGCATGCCAAGAAGGAGCGAATGGCAGCGGCGCGCGAGAAGAAAGAGCGCGAGCGAGATGATGCTGCTGGGGCGGAACTTTTTCGGGAGGACGCCTCGGCCGTTGAAGACCTACTATTGCTAACCAGTGCTCGTTGTTAGCTTTACTCTTTGCGGTCTCGTGTTCAAAGGTAGACGTGGCAGACGGCAAGACACATAGAAGCCTGAAGTCGCGCATGCATCACCGTGTGATGTTGTTCTACTATGTAATTATTATTGGGAGACCTATGATGTTGCGCATTTTTTATCAGCTGCCGCTTCCACTCGTGATTCGCTGCGGAGCGGGCCTCGTCCCCGCAATGACCTACCTGCCCGGAAACAGTTTGAGCTTGCAAGAGCTTCAGCTTCGTGGCATCGCGGCCTGTTACGGTTCTTGGTCAGTCAGAATCACATGTCTTCGTCGAGCAGATGTTGCCTGTGTCAGCTTGAGTTTACTTGGCCTGGCTTCTTCTTGTGATCCACCATGAGCCCGCAAGTCCTGAACCCAACAAGTCCCCAAAAGGGCCTAACCTAAATGGACATCACCTGACCTATCCGAACCTAAGATGAAGTAACCTAACCTAAGCCAACGTAACCGCGCCCAACACAACAGACACCCCGCCCAGCCGCAAACGCCCCCAAGCAAACACGAAACCCCCGCACGCGCTGGCCTGTAAATGTATACTACAGCCCGACAACATCTAACAGGGGTATCTGATAACTGCTGAGGTTCGCCCATGCCATCCGCAATCCCAGCCTGATGAAGCACTGCGCTGTCCTATCCTAACCTAGGCTTTCATGACCTGGCCTGAGCCAACGGAACTCCAGTCCGAGCACTGAACGTGTAGCAGTCCTTTACATCCTTGCATTGAATGCCACGCTCAGATAGACGTCGAGTTCGGCGAGAAGCCCTTGAGCGTGGAGGTCGGCAAGACGTTGCCTTGTCAGGACTTCCAGGCTGCCCGACTCGGTGTCAAGCGCGGTTGGAGGGTGACCCACGGCGGTCCTGGAAGCAGTGGTGGCAGCGGTCAGCGAGCATATATGGATCTCTTCTGGTCGCGCGCAAGAAGATTCAGAGCTTGTTTTTTTGTACTTCAGGTCAACAAGATCCAGCGCTTTCTGCTCGCCGGGTTTGGACTTCGTCGGACATTGCAGCTCCTGTGGCGGCTCGTCAGCGCTGTGGAGCCTACACTGCTTTGACACCGATGTAAATCTAAGACAACGCCGAGGCAGGAGCTGGACAAGCTTCCGGACATGAAGGACCGACGCCGAGCTTGCAGAACTTTCTGAGGCGATTTATATATGTATATATATATATACATATATGTGAAGAAGCTCACCCGCCTCGGTGGACCAACCGCGAAAAAGACATGGGCAAACTGTTTTTTGTTGCATTTTTTGCACATGTTCATGTTTGTTTGCGCTTTTGTTTTTTTAATGGTTCTTTTGTTGAGCTCTTTTTTTGGCTTGGCACTTGTTTTTGTGATTGTTGCATTCTGTTGCACTTTCTTTGTCCCTGTGGCACTTGTTGCACTTGTTTGTGCGTTTTTTTTTGCACTTTTTGTGTGTTTTTTTGCATTTTTCGCACTTGTTTGTCTTTTTGCTTTCTTTGCGCTTTCTTTGTGCTTTTTGTTGTTTGTCCTTTTTGCTCCCTTTTTTGGCACACTGTGTGCTTTTCTCTACTTGTCCTGAGAAAATCACAAAATCCCAAAACACCAAACTCCAAAAACCCAAAAATCAAACAAACCCTGGAGAGTTTGGGTTTTTGGGTTTTGGATTTTGCGGGGTCTTTCGCAGACGAGATTAGTGAGAATGCATTCTTTGCAAACAAACACAAATTCACGCATGTCTGCCGAAAATTTTGCTTTTTGAAACTAAATGAGTTTTTTTTGCCACCCTGGGCGAAATCAAAAAACACGAAACAACCAAGACTCCAAACCTCGCCGCAGGATCTCCCAGAAAAGTCTGGACTTTGGAGTGTTGGGATTTCAGAACGGAGTTTCGGATGTTTTGGATTTATGGGTTGGTTGGAGAAGGGGCATGGCCGTGGCCAGTTCCAGATGTATAGCAGAAATGGCTCCTCATTTTCCAGATTTTGGGCTCTAAACCCTTGTCGCTAAACCTCGTCGCTAAACCTCGTCGTTTAAGATTTAGCCCTCAACCCTCGTCGACAAACCCTCGTTGCTAAACCCTCGTCGCTAAACCCTCGTTGTTACACCCTTGTCGCTCAACCCTCGTCGTTTCGGATTAGTCGCTAAACCCCCTCGCTTAAGACTTAACCCTGTACCTTCGTCACTAAACCCTCGTTGCTAAACCCTCGTCACTAAACCTTGGTCGCGAAACCCTCGTCGTTTAGGATTTAGCCCTAAACCCTCTTCGCTAAAGCCTCGTCGTTTAGGATTTAACCCTAAACCTTCGTCGCTAAGCCCTCGTCGTTTAGGATTTAGGCCCTAAACCCTCGTCGGTAAACCTTCGTCGTGTATGTATGTACAGGCAGTACTGCCTTCGACCCGATGCTTGACAGTGGCACGGCTGAGACGCTACAGTGCGATAGTGTCTGACCACATGGCAAGTGCTCTCTGTCTGTAGGATGCTTTCAGGAACCGACAAGGCAGCGTGTTCGGTGGGAGGGGGCGCGAAGCCCCGACCGTTGAGTTTAGGCTCTACTTAGGGTTTAGTTTAAGCTCGAAACCCTACACCCTATCTTCTCTCTTTTCCGGCTTTAGGGTTGTCGTTGAGCTTTGTTTGGATTGATGCTCGCGCTATGTTGGGGGCTTGTTGGCTTTAGGGTTTTGGGTTTACTAGACCTAAGCCCAATTCGGGATGTTTGGCTTGTGTGCTTTTCGAATTGATGTGTTTTGGTTTTAGGTCTTCCGGATTCCGGGGTTTCAAGCAGGGTTTAGAGTTTAGAGTTTAGAGTTTAGAGTTTAGAGTTTAGGGTTCAGGGTTTAGGGTTTAGGGTTTAGGCGTTATCACCCACTCATTTGCCAAGGTTTTGCGCGTCTCAGCCCCATGTGTCTCCAACCCGCCACAGGGATGGTCCCAAAATCCCAAGCCCTCGCAACCCTACTATCGAGCTTTGTGCAGGCTAGAGTTTTTCGGGTTTAGGGTTTAGGACCAGGCCCCCACCCTAAACCCTAAACCCTAGACCCTAGACCCTAAACCCTAAGCCCTAAACCCTGCGCCCTAAGCCCTAATCTCTAAACCCTAAACGCTAAACCCTAAACCCTAAGCCCTAAGCCCTAAACCCTAACCCTGAACGGCTGCTCTTAAATAGCCGTTTCGCCAGGCAGAGGTGGGCTTCACACTGGGCCCTGCGCGCTTCGTGGCCGCCAGCCGAAGGGTCCCACGGCTCAACCCTTAGAAGCCCCGACGCCTTACTAAGGGTTTAGGGTTTAGGATTGAGGATTTAGTAGTAGGTTTTAGGATTTTAGTAGTTTAGGAATTTCGGGTTTAGGGTTTTAAGGTTTACGGAACGAGGTCCTGTAGATTCAGAAATTATAGGGTTCTTAAGGGAGGGGGTTCAATCCTCCCTAAGCTTCCCTAATGTTCCCCAAGTACAAATTTTTTTGAACCCACGTGCCCCAAGAACCCCTACAAAGTCTGTTTCTCGCGGTCTTTGGGTGCTTTTCAGGCCTCTTGGGTTCGTAAACCCCCCCCCTCCCCTGAAGATTAAACCCCCCTACTAGGGTTAGGGTTTAGGGCTGAGGGTTTAGGGTTTAGGGATATAATATACCAATACTGTGAATATTGGCGGGTAATATTGGGGGAGGGTTCGTTGTGCTTCTCGGTGGTCTTCGGGCGTGAGCTGAGCTTGAACAGGGTTTGGGGTTGAGGGTCCTAAACCCCAAACACGAAGCTCCAAACCCTAAACCCTGAAACCTCAAACCCTAAACCCTAAACCCTAAACCCTAAACCCTAAACCCTAAACCCTAAACCCTAAACTCTAAACCCTAAACCCTAAACCCCAAACCCTAAACCCTAAACCCTAACCCCTAAACCCTAAACCTCCCAGACCCGAAAGACCAAACCCCAAAACCCCAAGCGCGCAGGTGCGAGACCCTGGTTGGACTAGCGTGGCTCAGGTGCGTCTTCAGGAGCGGGTTCAGCGGCTTTGGGGGTTTGGCGTTTAGGGTATAGGGTTTAGTGTCGAGGGTTGAGGCTTCAGGGGTTTAGGGTTTAGGGGGTGAGAGTTTTTCGGATTTGGGGGGGGAGTTTAGGGTTAGGGGGTTAGGGGTTCAGGGTTTTCGCATTTGGGAGGTTTAGGTTTAGGGGTTTAGGGTTTAGGGTTTAGGGTCTGTACTTATCACCATATTAGGGCACTCAAGGGGCTGAATAGTGGGTTATTAGTGCAGTTTGAAGTGGTTAATAAGTACCATGAACCTCCAAGTAGGGCCCTGCGCACTTTCTAGGCTTACACCGTTCCGTGGGGAAGGGGCGGGGGGGGGGGGGGGGGGGGAACCCTAAACCCCAGACCCTAAGTTTGCAGAACTGTCGGTCGCTTTTGGGCCCTGGAATGTTCTTGGAGCACGTAAGATGGCTTCTTGTCTGAAGCCCTTTGGGCCTTGGGCGAGGGTGGAGGTGTGTGTTGTGCCGTGACTTGGGGACCGTTGCTTTCATCCGTTTGTTTGGGGCCTCTTGTGGCCGTGTAGTGCACGCTGCAATCTGCTTTCGACGAGAACTTCGAGGGTGCGTGAAAAGGCCCTGGACTGCACCAGTAACTTTGCCAGGGTTTAGGGTTTAGGGTTTAGGATTTAGGGTATAGGGTTTAGGATTTAGGGTGTGTGGTCTTGATTCAATCGCATAAACGAGGGTTCAGGAATTCAGGGGTAAGGTCTAGGCAGGTTCGATTCATGTTTGTCTTGTGCCTGTCGGGATTCTGGCCGCTCCCAAACCCCGAAACCCCTAGATTTCAAGAAAGGCATCGCCCACGATGACACCCTAAAACCCTAGACCACGAAGCCCCAACAAACCCAAATACCGTAAACACCAAACCCCCTAACCCTAAACCCTAAGTCCTAAATCCTAAACTCTTGAGGAAATCCCCAAGCGCCTGAAACCGAAAAGGAGATCGGCGAACTCGATCTCAGCTCGGGATTCCGGGAAGGCAGCCGGCTAATGGA